AGGTGAGGGGGCACATGGGGACAGGGATGGGGACAAGGATGGGGACAGGGATGGGGACATTCCTGCAGTGACCCTGTGCCCCTTGCAGATCTCACTGCAGTACAGTAGCTATGGATCTTGGCGCCACACTTGCGGCGGGACCCTCATCGCTCCCCAGTGGGTGCTGACAGCTGCCCACTGCATCAGGTGGGTGTTGGGGTGCTGGGGGGACCTGTGCCATGGAGGTATCTGTGGGGACTGACACCCCTTCTCTCTCTGGCAGCAACTCCATGACCTACCGTGTGGTGCTGGGCAAGCAGGACCTGTCAGTGGATGATGAGCCCGGTTCTGTGGCCGTGGGCGTGGAGAAGATAATCGTCCATGAGAAATGGAACTCCTTCCTCATCATGTAGGGGGTGGAATAGATCTGGGACTGGGTGGGAGACATCAAAGCTGGGGACCGCATCCTCATGGTTCATGTCCCCCTGTAGCAACGACATTGCCCTGATCAAGCTGGCCGAGGAGGTGCAGGAGAGCGACACCATCCGCGCCTCCTGCCTGCCTGACGCCGGCAAGATCCTGCCCAACAACTACCCCTGCTATGTCACCGGCTGGGGACGCATCAGGAGTAAGTGGGGTGTCCCCAGGAGGGTCCCCAGCGAGTCCCTGGGGTGTGCAGGGTGTGAGATGTGACTGTCCTTGCAGCCAACGGGCCCCTGGCTGACACCCTGCAGCAGGCTCTGCTGCCCGTGGTGGACTATGAGACCTGCTCCAAGTGGGACTGGTGGGGCAGCCTTGTGCTGGAGACCATGGTGTGCGCCGGCGGCGACGGCGTCGTCTCCGGATGCAACGTGAGCGTGGGCGCTGCTGGGAGGAGAGGGGATGGAGCCCTGGATGGCCAGGAGGGATGAGGGGAGTTGTTGGGGTGCCCAGGACCCAGGCCCGGAGTGTTTGTGCACACAGGGCGATTCTGGCGGCCCCCTGAACTGCCAGCGCAATGATGGCATCTGGGAGGTGGATGGCATCGTCAGCTTCGGCTCTGGACTGGGCTGCAACGTGGCCAAGAAGCCGACAGTCTTCACCCGAGTGTCCGCCTACATCGACTGGATCAACGAGGTGGGTGCCCCTTCCTCTGCCCCCGCACAGGGAGCTGGCCACAGCGCCCCTGCCCTGGCAGCGCTCTCACCCTGAGCCTCCCCGTGGCTTGTCTTTGGCAGAAAATCGCAGAGAACTGAGGACACGGCCTGCAGCACAAGCACTGAGCGTGATGAAGGCAGCAGTGACAGCCACTGGGTGTGATGAAGGCAGCAGTGACAGTCACTGGGTGTGATAAAGGCAGCAGTGACAGTCACTGGGTGTGATAAAGGCAGTAGTGACAGTCACTGGGTGTGATAAAGGCAATAGTGCTGAGCTGGTCTCGTGTGGTTCTTTTGTGGGGACACGGTGGAGCAGAACCAGAGGGCTGTTGTCTTGCGGTCCTGGGCTTCTTCCCAGGAGCTGGGGAGAGCCCTCACATCGTGCAGTGAGGCTGGGAAGGGTCCTGGGGAGCTTAAGGTGGGCAGACTTCCCACAAGGTACTCCCAGCTCGGAGCAGAGCCATTGCCGAGCCAAAGGGTTCAAGGCTTGACCGGTGGTTTGATGGGAAAGTGGCTGGAATCTGGCCTGGAGGTCCTGGGGGGCTCTAAGGAACTTGGGGGTGGCTGTAGGGCCCCTGGTTGGCCCAAGGAGGTGTTGGGTGTCTTGGCTGGTGCTGGGATGTCTCAGGGGATCTCGCTGGTACTTGATGGCAGCAGATTTATGATGGGGGTCTCGAGGTAACTGGGTTGGATCTGGGGTCATCCTGCAGCCCCACCACATTCCCCTCACCACCTGTGCTGCCAGAGCGCTCCCAGGCTGTTCTCACCTCTGGATGCCCTGGGGAAGGAGCAGCCACTGCAGTCCCTGTCATGGAAAGGAGCCATCTCCATCCACGTGTGTCACTCTATCATGAGCCATCTCCAGCCACAGTCACCCCCACCCCAGCCCCGGTGCATCCCTAGGGAGAGAAGGGGAAGAGTGCAGGGTCACCTTTCCCAAAGGGGAACAGGTCCAGGGGAGGTGGGATCAGCCCTGGGATCACACCCAGAAGCTCTGTACAAAACTGGACAGCAACAGGACGGGGCAGCCCAGAGCCCCCCTCCCCTTGGGGATGGAGAAGGGGAATGGAGAAGGAGACAACCATGAGCTCTCACAAACACCTGAGCACAGGCAAGGCCACCACAGCCACACCCTCCCTGGGGTGCTCAGGGCACCCCTGGCTCCCTCCTGCAGCACCTAAAAGGCACCTGAAATGCTCCCAAAGGAGCACAGAGACGCTCAGTGGCTGCAAATGCAGACTGGATATTCCCAGGCTCCCTGGGAATCCCCAAGCACCCCCCAGCACAGACCTACCCCAAGGCCTCTGCACCTCCCAAGGGTGGCTCCAAGGATGCTCCCCCCCTCAAAATCCAACACAGATGCAGGATTTCTGAGCCAAGGCCACAAGCACCACAGCAGCTCCTTAAGCACTTTACCTCAGCTCTGGTATTTGACTGAATCCTCACCAGTTTCCTGCTCTGACTCCTCAAAAGGAGCAGGATGCCTTCTCCATAGGCTGGCACAGCCACATTGTAAATGACAAATGTAAATGTAAATGTAACAGCAGATTTGAGTGAAGGTTTCTACTCTTCCCACTTCAGAGGAGCCCTCAGGAGGTGCTGGAATGGCAGTGAGGAGATGGAACAGACAAGGGAATACAGCTAAAGATTTGTTCTTTAATTGAATTTATTAGAAACGTTGACTGAAAAACTCATCCTGTTTTACTTGATCAGACCCTGGTCCCCTCAATCAGTTACCCAGGCAGCACAGGACACAAATATCACCATCAGCAAAGGAAAACACTCTGAGGCTGAGCCAGAAGTGCTCTCCTTGGCTCTGCTCTCCAGCAAAGGGATTTCCTGCTCCATCCACAGCATTTCCCAATGGCACAGCACAATCTCCATCTCCACTGCACGGCAAAGCCAGCGCTGGCAGATCACATTTCTCCAGACAAACATCTGGACACACAGACAAAACCCACGGGGAGCACTGCCACCACGTCGTGGTGGGCACGGATTTCATTCAGCCACGGGAAGAACCTCCAGCGTTTGGCAGGGGGCTCGAAGCCCAGGGGTCAGTCACACACGAAGAAGAATTTTTTACGGAGGAAATTGAAACATCCTGGGATCTGCTTGTACCTCCCCTTGGCAGAGACAGCACATGCCACCTGGGAACAGGAGAGAGGCTGAGGAACAGGATGCTCTCCCCACCCCTCGAAATCGATGGCTGCCACCCCAAGGTGGCCAAAGAAGCACCTCAACGACCACGAAACAACAACAAGGTGATTCTGTAAGTCCTCTCTCCCTCCACCTTGGACTTGTCTCCTACCCATGGAGAACAGAAAAAGTATCTGGGGCACCTACACTTGTAGGCAGCTTTGGCAATGCTGTGTCAGCAAGGCACACAAAGGAAGGCTTTGATCAGCCAGACTCCTTGTACTGTGCTCCTCCACCCCCAGGACAAGCTTACAGGAGCACCCAAATCCCCTCAGCCTGGATAGGACAAGCCACAACATTTTTTTAGCAATTTTTTCATTAGGATTAAAGCCTGTATTGCCAGGATTCCTCCTCACTGGAAAAACCTCCAGTGATTTTTGGCAGATTGAGGCCAGGCACTTTCTTTGTAATTAAACCTCACTGCAGTACCTCAAATTAGCCCATCCCTAAACTCAACACTCAATATCTTCACTCCTTTTTTGAGTGTAGGCTTCCATGCCCCAACTGATCACACCCCTGCCTATTTCCTTCATCAAAAAAAAACAGAAAACAAAGACATTTACCCTCACTAACATGCTGAGCAGATCTTCTGAATGGGCATATTGATCCAGCACACTGTCCAGCATTTCCACATACCACGAGCCTCTCGACTTCTCCCTCCAGGAGACAAAACCTTCATAGAAAGAAGGAGAATGTTATGCCAAAACCCATCTGGTGCTCTCATCCCAACAACTCCTCCAACAGAGCCGGGTTGTCCTGAACTGCCCCTATCTTTGGCTGTGAAGTTCTGACTGTTTTGCTAATTCCCCCATGCCCAGAAAAGGATGTTTCACCTGGAAAAGTGGAGTAGGAAACCAAGATGTCACTGGGTGTGGGCAAACTGGCAACAGCATCGGGCTCATCCTCGTTACCCGACGGAACCCGAATCGGGGTCGCGTCCGATTCCAAAGAACCCCCAGGAGTTTCCTCTTCAGGTGAATCACAATCCACTAAAAAGCCTTGATCCCTTTGCTCTGAAAAAAGCAGCAACAAGACAGCTCCTGATGTTCATCCCACCCAAGAGATTCACGGCTGTACATCCGACGTTAATAAGAGATGAGGAAAGAAAAGGACAAAGGCCCTAGAACAAAATAAGGCTTTTTTGGCCATTCAGCTGCACTGGTTGAGTCGAAGTCGTTGGTGGATTTTACAAAACTCCTCATTGTGTTTGAAGAGCTGGAGCAGCCTCTCAGCACGTGGAAAGAGAAGAGGCAGCTGGTGTGAGGAGACAGCTGGAGAGAGGGGCAGTAGGTGAACACAAAGGGAGCCAAAGCCACAGCCTGACCACATCTCCAACACAAAGATTCACCTCCACCACAGGCCTGGATGAAGAACAGTTTGGGTTTTCCTCTCAAACTCGGGCAATTGAAGCCATTGAAATAGTTCACAATCTTTTCTATGGGAATGGGTTTTCCATCCGTTCCGTAAACGCCTCCAGGAAACTGAATATGGCTCGTCTGCAAGAGGAAAATGCAGGAGCTGGTGACACAGCAGCTCTGAGGGAGCCCATTTCCCACCACAGCCTAAACAAATCCTGCTGTTTGTGGGAATCCCTGTGGCCAAGTCAGGGTGAGGGGACAGCCAGGAGATATTTGAAATGCACTAAAACCCAGCAATCCGACTTCTGTTATCCATCTCATATCCCACATCCTCCAGCAGAGGAGTTCTTTATCCTCTGGTACAACAGGCACATACCCTACACCACTTTCCTCACCCTTCCAGAACTGACCTGGAACAAAAAGGCTTTATTGCCAATAGCATCTCCCTGTCAGAGCTGGAGAACAGAAGGACTGAATGACCTCAGGCTGAGTGGGACCTCCCTTCAGCTCCAAATTATTAGCCACAACTTCCAAAATGGAAAACACTTGTCCACTGGCACCACTGGATCAGACTACACCAGAGAAGCTCCTGTTTTCTTTAACTCAGAGTAAGGGTGGAACTGTTTGAAACATACTGAAGTGGCAGAATAAGGTTTTGACCCTCTCAGCTTGTGTGAGACCAGAGGACAGGGAATTAACCCCTTCCTGAAGGAACAAAGATGGGACAAACCCACCTGACAGCCATGGGAGAGGATGACCACGATGCAGCAGTCCAAAGCACTGTGGTCCTGCCGTGACAGCTTCAGCAGCTCCAACACCATTTCCTGTGTGGAAAAGATGACAGTGAGAGTTTTTTGAACCATATCTCAGCCACAGGTTACTGCCAGGCCCTGCTCTAATTGCACTGCCCTGGATCTGGTCAATCTCTGCCACAGGGTAATGTGAGCCACAAGTACAGCTGGCAAAAGCAGAGAGTATTTCTGTGTCTCTCCCTGTATTTAACACTGGCTGCTCTGACACACAGATTTCTCACCTCTCTGCACTCTTTACAACACAGCACCACAAACTAAAGTGCATTTCCACGTGATTTATCTGCTGAAATCTGACTGGGAGCTGGTGGGTGAGCAGAGAAACAAGTTTTGTGAGATCATCTGTGAAACCTCCAGATGATCAAGTTCCCCCTTGACACTTTCAGTAACAGCCAAGGATAGCACAGACAGACATGACACAGCTGTCAGTTATCCCAAAAACCCCTACAAATCACAGCCAGGATTCGACATTCATGCAGAGGGATCAAAGTGTGCAAAGTCCTCTCTCCTCCTGCAATTGCAGCACAATAAAGTAGGAGGATGTAAGTGGTTTGTTGTTTCTTTGTGGGAGGTTTTTGGTGTGCTGCCAACACGAGACACATCCCCTGAAGCGCTCCCATCACTTCCAGGGGCTCAGCTCTCACCCCTCGTGTCAGCAGGACACAAGCAGCCTCACCTGAGCTTTCAGATTCCGCCGGGTCAGGACGGTGAAATGCAAGGCCTTGAAGCGCCTCTCCAGCTTCTCACAGTCGATGTCAGAGCCTTCTCGGGTCGAGAGACCTGAGTCTCTGGAGAAACTGACGTTATTGAGGATCAGGCAGTGTCCGCAGGGATCCGCTTTCATCTCATAATCCTGGCAGGGACGTGCCACAATTAAACTCCCTCTTATTCCAAGCTGGCTAATCCAGCAG